CGAGCGCTTGATGTGTCTGCCAGGAAACTGTGGTTTGCTTCCTGTTTGGAAGCTTTGACTTTTTGAACTTTGTTTTGCTTGGTTTTCACTTGCTGATTTGTTTGATTTGAACTCACTTTTTTCACTTCAGACACTAAAAGCTACTTAGATTTAGTAAAAGATTGTGGTTTGAGCTCACAGCATTAAGTCAACACATTGAAATATGGCATTTGCCTAGTGTATCTGACAGATGTAACAGATCTGCGTGACTATTACCTAAACCTGGTCCACAGCCACTCGTGTGAAAAGACGCCCTGTGTGTAATTTGGAGAAAATGACAGATTTAATGTCCTTGCAATGAGAATGGGCTGGATAAACAATTTACTATGTAGCACATGCTGACATAGCAGTCCTGATTCAGTGCTTTTCTACTAATACCATAAAGTGTGTTAACAGATTTAAATGCCATGAGCCCGTTTCTATTACAGCTAACCTAAAGCAAAGTGTTGAAGATTTCCATAAATCTTTTAATAGTAATAAAAAAAATCTATGGTCCTTTGTTTACCTCATTACAAACTATAGCATCCATTGTATCTGGTACTGGATGCATATTCTAGGAACCGTGTGGTTTTGTGATTGAGTATTAGTAGCTCAATTTTTCAAAAGTGAAAAATTATCTCACCCTGCAAGGCTGCATCATTTATTGTCAATTTAGCACTTTATTGTAGCGTGAATAAGTAATGGTGAAGAACAACTAGCCCCTATGCATGTGTCAGTTAGGCATACATTGACAATATACGGATGTAGCCTTGCTGTTGATCCTTGAGTAATGACCTCACATCTATGGATTCCAGGGTGGTCCTTTCATAGCCTGTTAGACACTTACACACACAAAACACACACTGAGTCTCTCACTCCGCACAGCCAGACTTTATCACACATTACTAACAAGCATGAAGAGTGTGTCGACACACACTTGGGCACAGTGAGCATTTTGTTCTCTTCTACACACTTCCCAAACGTTCCTCTCTTACTCTCAAACACATTTAAATTCTTGAAAAATAAGTCACTGCACTGTTCTTTGTGTTGTTCAGGAACAAAAATCGAAATTCCCCTCATTCTATGTCCTTTTTCTTACACAGTCTTGTACAATATTCAGCTATCAACTGTTGTATGCAGATACATGCACATACACAATGACAGGATCTCCTTCCACAGGCTCTGAAGGTCTGATGAAAGTGAGAGGTCACTGACACTTCCTCCACTTTCTTTTGATAATGACTTGTCTCAGGCATCTAATGCCCTGTTGATTGCTCCCTCCAGACATTTAATGGCCATAAACTGCAGACGACGACATGGGCATCCGCTGTGGTCATTGTAAATGTAAATGGAGACTCGATCCCTGTGACTTTCTTTTAAATTAGTGTTGCTGCTGTCATTTAGTTGTTCCTCATAATGCCTCTCCTTATTGCTGACTGACTGCCTTACATGAGCAATGATTAAAATCTTAATAATTAGATGCAGGAATGATACAGTCACTTCTTTAAGAAAAAAAAACAAAAAACTTCCACAGACACCAAAAGGAAATAACACACCCATTACAAACAGGAAAGGGGGGAGTATTGCAAATTTAGCAGTTTGCTTCACAAACAGATGTGTTCTTTATTTTCACATGTCCTAATAACACTCTTTTGCAGTGAGGCCATACAGCTTTCTATTTAACCCTCTGGGGTCCAGGGTAAAATTGGCCGTTTTTGACTACTTTTGATTTGACTTCTACATTTCACATTTTAAAACTGTTTATCTTGCCTTGTTTGGTATCATTCTTTTCAGCACAACCTCACATATCTGAATTTGGAGTTATGGTTTCATTTTGACATAGTGTATTAGCACAATTGATCTAAATTCAGACAAAAAACATAAAATCAGAGTAGAAAAAAGTTATATTTCTTACTGTAAAAACCACAAATATGTTTAACGAATCATTTTCAAAACTTGAAATGCAAATACAAATTGTACATTTTTTAAAAATTGCAAGTTTTGCAAACAACAAAGTTATATGGTACTATTTACCTAAAAATGCAGCAAATGCCTCAGGTGTTTTTTATATAACCATTTAAAACTATTTACAGAACAATCAGGTGTGCTGCATCAAATAAGATACCACATAAATTATTTGTGCCAATCAATTTGCTCGCTGGACTCAGTATACTATAAACCTCTGCAAGTTATCTTCTGTTGTCAGTCATTTTAAAATGTTGGTCTTTGAATGATTTCCTTATATTATTTCTTTTAAAATTTTTATATTTTAATTTTTGTATGGAAGAACTATGCAGGTTAATTAGAAAACCCTCTTTATTAACAATAATATATTTATTTAAAGAGTGCTTTCCATCATAGTCCTTTAGAAGGCACAGACCAGAGCTAACAGAGCTAACTACAACTTAATCCAAGCTGGCAGCAGTGAATGTAAAGAGTAGTAAAACTGGAAAACTTGTAATCTATACTGCCATTGTTGTGTATTTGGAACTCCCTAAATAAGCCATATGTAGTGCACTGACCAGGCTCTGTCCATGACTGTGCTGCAGCAAACAAGCACTGCACTATAGTAATCATGAATGAATGACTCTACCTTGCTAAGGGGCAAAACAAATCCTGTTTTGTCCGGCTTTTTCGACTTCCAAGAAGAATGTAATGCAGATATAAAGTCTGCTCTTGCATAAATAGGAAGCCAATTAAGAGAGGCAAAGCGCAGAAGTATAATGATCATATTTAGATGAACCAGTAAGAATGCAAGCTGCTGCATTCTAAACCACGTTGAGACCTCTAACATACCTCTTCTTTGGGTATCCTAATAGTAAAACAATACAATAATCCAAACTAGATGCCACAAAGGCATAAAATAGAACCTCATCATATTTGAACGACAAAATACGTCTGATTTTAGGAAAACTTCTCAGGTGAAAGAAAGCTATTTGAATAAATAAAAAGGGTTTTCTTAAACAATAAATATATAAAAATAAATAAATAAAAATAAATAAATGCTTCCTGTCCATCCATGTTTTAGTTCAGTAATACTTAAGATTTAAAACCATCTTTTCACCAAAATTAACAGGCATATCCATTTCCTCCAGAAATTGGTGTAAATAATTGTAGATCATCAGCATAACAATGGAAGACAATCTCAAAGGCCCACGTGAGTTTACATATTGGTGGTTGGTGTAGTGAAAACAGCTGTGAACTAAGGTCCAACGGTTCCATAGTTAATCAGTTGCCAAAGAGTTTCATAAGTCTCTCCACAAGTGTATTAAATGACCTGTATTAACACGATTAATGATCGTTGCTTACACATAGACAAAACCATTAAAAAAAAGCAAAACAAAACATTGGTAAATAAGCATAAGCATGTCTGAAAAAGGAGGCCCTACTTTCAAACGCTGTCTGGTTAGTATTTAGAAATTAAGAAGCAGATACATCCCGTAGGCTTGGAACAGTCCAGTACTAGCTATAATTCAATACCGCTAATACAATGTACCACTGCTATTTTAGTAAACAAAATAACATTTTACTGGTGCTTCAGGCAAATATGTCTGCAGCTGGAGTTCTTTATTGGTCTTTAAGAAAATAAAGATAAATAAATAAAATGAAATCTAAATAAAATCCAGAAAAGCATTTGCTTAACTGGTTTCAACTTTAAGCAAACAGCTTTAAGTTCATGTTCATGTTTGCACTTTCATGAAGGGTTTCAAAGAATTTGGATGATTACAAAAGAAGATAAAGAAAAGAAAATTTAAAAGAAAGACAAAAAAGAAAACACCGGCCTTTGACCCAAAACTTCCAATACTTGTTCTTTCAGTCATTGTCCCCTCATTTTTCTCCAGTCCTCCTTGTGTCTGTATCTCTAGGACACACACACAAACATGCCCTGAGGTCCTGTTTCCGGTCTTAGGTGCATGAGAGACACTAGCCAGCATCCGTGTGGGACTTGAGCTTTATTACAAACACATATACTCATATGAGTAGTGTGTGTGTCTGTGTGTGTGTGTGTATGTGTGTGTGTGTGTGAGTGAGAGAGAGAGAGAGAGAGAGAGAAAGAGAGATGATGCTGTTGTATCTACTTATTTTCTCAGTAAATGGTAAAATGGTAAATGGCCTGTATTTGTATAGTGCTTTACTTAGTCACTAAGGACCCCAAAACGCTTTACACTACATTCAGTCATCCACCCATTCACACACACACATTCGCTCAGTCTCCTCCTCATGCATTTTTTAAGCATAAATACTCGTAAACCTCAACCAGGTGAAAAAAAAAGGCAAGCCTGCAGGCACAAAAAACGCAGCACATTTGTTTCTGTAAACTCGTAAACTTCTGTGACTTGTAGGCAACACAAGTTTCATTTTACACATGGTTGTATATTGGACAGTGTATGTTTTCTATGAGATAATAGTGACTGCTATAGATGACAACTAACATGGAGCATGCTTATGATATAGATTAATATACTAGATTGCTTCACATCAAAATTGTAATGAATAGGCCCAGATTCTCACATTTAAAGCACACAAAGGTGTTTTAATCACACTGCATCTACTGTTTTGTAACAATTTCTAGCAAAACCTCTGTAAGTATCAGTAAGTATCAAAATCTGAGAAAAGGATTCACGTTTCACTCACACAGCACTGCAATCAGATAATCAAATAAGCTGAAATACTCACATATGCCACATGCTTTTGAACATTCAGTGGAAGTGTTTCTTTGTTTAGTTTAATGCTCCTTCTGTGATGATTTAACATCGCAGGTGTGATTTACACGAGGTGATCAAGTAAAGGAAACAATAAAAAAGTTAAACAGCACTGACTTCATAATGCAGATTTTGATTTGAGGTGGTGCATGTTGTTTCAGCTCCATGGATCTGAAAAATAAACCTCCCTTTTGAAAATAAATCTATGGTATTCAAGTATACATCAAAAGACCGTATTCTATGAAAATTTTATGTATTTCATGTCTTTTCTCATTTTAGTAAACACCACTACAACCATGGATGAGGAACAATGCTACTATAATGAGAGCATCACCTTTTTCTACAACCGCAGCGACAAGCCTCTTGCTAACGACTGGGACACCTACAGCCGGTTGGTGATGGGCCTTGGCATCACTGTGTGCATTTTCATCATGCTCGCCAACCTTCTGGTAATGATCGCCATCTACGTCAACAGGAGATTCCACTTCCCCATTTACTACCTGATGGCTAACCTGGCAGCTGCTGACTTCTTTGCTGGATTGGCATACTTCTACTTGATGTTCAACACGGGACCAAACACAAAACGTCTGACTGTTTCAACATGGCTGCTGCGTCAGGGCTTGATTGACACCAGCCTTACTGCATCTGTAGCCAACCTGCTTGCCATCGCCATTGAACGCCACATCACCGTGTTCCGCATGCAGTTACACACACGCATGAGCAACCGGCGCGTGGTGGTTGTGATTGTCATTATCTGGACTATGTCCATAGTCATGGGGGCGATACCCAGCGTAGGTTGGAACTGTATCTGTAGCATTAAGTCTTGCTCCAACATGGCACCTCTCTACAGCAACTCTTACTTGGTCTTCTGGGCAGTGTTTAATCTTGTGACTTTTGTTGTCATGGTGACACTATATGCCCACATCTTTGTGTATGTGAGGCAGAGAACCATGAGGATGTCACGGCACAGCTCTGGACCACGACGCAACCGAGATACCATGATGTCTCTTCTGAAGACTGTGGTCATTGTGTTGGGTAAGAGCATTCACTTTCAGTCTATGTACTGTAGCTGTTGATCTCTTGATAATCACTAACCTAGACTTTCTAGCAGGATGCCTCTGCCTATATATGTATTTGTCTTTGTAACAATTACCCAACATCTGAAGTCGTCAGCAGCAGCAAAACGATGCATGTGTTAATCAGTTTAACTATGAGGCTGTTACATTTAACACTGAATCCAAGCACAATGTCCTCCTAGCACTACTGCAGATCTCATATATAGTAAATCATATTGGTCAGTGGTGTTCCCCATGATCATTATTAAAATGCTCATAGTTTTAGTTATGAAGTCACCTTGAAATTTATGATTGCAAATAGCCAAATGGGGATGAAAATAATTAAATATATGCAAGCAAAAATATATAAACATAGTGGTTTGAATAATGTGGTTTTGTTGATTTAAAGTATAGTAAATTATGTCTCTTTTAGAAGATGCATATACCAAAAGTACCAAGGCACATGTCCATGCAAGTGCCTTTAAGGCTTTACGCTTCACTACAATTGTGCACAAAACAAAAGAACTTTTCTGGTAGTCTGTAAGCATCTGTACTACCAACAGATTATGAGGAATTTAGATTAATCCCACATCCCATCTTTTATAGTTCTGAAGAATTTTTCTAGGGCTAGCATGTCGTTTTCTTGGTAAGAATTGTGAAATACCCTCAATTACTCTCCAGCTGTACTTTCATTTTCACCTATAAAGAACACTAACGGATGTCTGAGGTATCTAGGCTTAAAATAAAAAGATTACAGTTCTCTTACAGATACAGCTGGCCTCAGTCCAGCTTTCCAAACTAAAACTAAAAACACAGTTGCAATGAACAGCAGCAGGTTTTTTTTTGGTTTTTTTTACTGTAGTGCTGCAGTGTGGTCAACTTTTTTGGTGTCTGTTTATATGCTGCAGATGAAACTCGGCCTGTTTAACCTATCACCCAAGCTGCGTGTGCAGTCTTGACAGTTTTATGTGCAAGCATTAAGCAGAGATATGTTTCACACTTTTCAGGACTCTGTAATAATCAGACTCTACTCCTTCTTCTTCTTCTTTTTTTCATTTAAAACTAGAACAAATTAGCAGACCAGCTCAGTTATGTTTATAGTATGTTAAAAATTGTGGGGGGAAAAGGCTTCTTAGTGCCTGGAAGCAGGATGTGTTGCATCCTAGACAAAACATACCACAGGATTGCAAGTGATCTCTCTCCTATGTGCTCTGCTATCTCATCCTGTTGTTGTCTTTACTCCAAACTTAACTCAAAGTAGTGGACAGGAGACTATGATCTGGAGCATATAGTGGGCTAAAGAGGCAGAGAATGAACATCTGCTGTGTAGGGATGTTTTGTTTATTTCTTTACCTCTTTGGTAACCTATGAGGTAAACAGTTCTGAAATTAATCTGCTACCTTTGGTGTATGTTTCCTAATGGCCATAGGGTGGAAGCTATATACCATGGTATGAATTAAATCTAACTGTCATAGTTTTCTTTGCAGATAATGTGATTTTTCTAGGAGGAAGTAGGACTAAAAAAAAAAGTCAAAACAAAACAAAAAACCCTTAATCTGCTTTTTCTGATTCTTCCATTGCTATAAATTATATTACATGTGTAAGCACATTTTTTGCAGTAAAATATCAGTGGTGAATATACAACTAAAAAAACAACAACTTTTTTTTAACAATAGAAACCAGCATTATTGCTGTCTTTGTCTATTGTCTAATGGATAAATAAAAATGTTAATTCTCTGGTGTCGTTACAACTATCCTACAGCTGCTTTTTTCTATTCAGGAATACAGGAAAAAGACCGAGTCATCCAAAAATGAAAGCTAAGTGGATGTAAGAACATTCTAATAACTGACTTCATATGAAGTTCAACTTCATATGAACTTTAATGATGTTAATGCAAGGTTGCATAGCTATTTGCAAAAGACTCACTCTATAAATCTAGGTAGAAAACACAGGTTTTATAATCCCATAACAATAGTAAGCATTAGGATTCAGGAATTAACATTAAGAAACAAAGTTACAGTCATTTAGCTTCATGTATTTCGGACTAGAGATGACTGTTCTTTACCAAAAATAGAAAAATAGCTTTATGTTTTTACAGTTTCTTTTCAGTTTAATCAGTAAATCATTAGCATCAATTTGAAATATTGTTTTAAATTTTTAGAACAAGCCACATTTGTTCTTCTCTACTCAAGCCGACATGTTACTGAGAAAGTAAGTCTTTTGAGTGAGGGTGTGATCTGTTTTGGTTTAGTCTAAATGAGGTCATTTTGAAGCACTATCAAGAACACTCAATTCCATGCCCCAAACTAAGTCTCTCCCTTGTATTGCTTGCCTGTTTCATTGTACATGCACTGAAAACCTTTGGACTTCTCTTACTTTTCATTAAACAAAAAAACAAATAAAAACAAATTAGTTTTTTAGCTTCCGCTGATACGGATATCAGTATGTGCCAAAAAATGACTATAAAGGATTTTTTCATCACCAGGAAAGAACATGTAAAATTCCAGATGTTTTTAGTCACAGCAACCAATTTTTAAAGCCCAATTCTTCAAAATTTAGTACCACACAAAAATCTCAAATCAGCAATATGTTTAGGCTGAGCAAGAAATGAAGCTCAGGAGCAATCCTGACAAATACCAGCTGACATCATCTAGCGCAGCCAATATACTTCCATGCATCCAAATGGGAATCTACCATAAGGGAAAACTCTCTAAGCTATTTCACAGTGCATATAATTGCTCTACATTTCCAAACCTCTTTGCAACCCACCTCCCCCTCATGCTATCCGGATAAGTGAAAGTCTAAGAAAAGAGTCTCAGTACCAGTTACTGTAGATTAAAATAAACAAACTTCCATTATCAGTTTGATTGAACAGCATTAGAAAAAAGCCCACATAAGAAGTTCTAAACAAATGATGCAACCCATTTTTCTCTGTGATTACTTTTTTTGATTTGCAATCAGATTGTCTTTTTCCCAGTTAGACAAGTACCAAGTGTTTACACTTACAAAACAACCAAATTCAGTAAACTGGCACTCATCGTGAAAAACTGTAGTGCATCAGTAGTGCATGTGTGTGTGTGTGTGTGTGTGTGTGTGTGTGTGTGTGTGTCAGTTGTTGGCAAATGCTGGAGTGTTCTGTGAATGATTTGATTATCTTAAAGCTTATGGTGTTGTATGAGGTCACATCGTCAGACAGCATGGAGTGCCAAGCAATACCATGCCCAAACAAATGCAGATGCCATATAACAGACTGGTACTTGTCTCCAAATTACAGTGTATAAGCAGTCAGTATTTACCCCGAAGACTTTTTTCAGTATCTAGATTTCAAAGGAAGGACAGAAATGAATGATTACACACTAACAAATGTGCCCTACTCATACACAGACGTTTCTGTAATTTTCTGCTATAATGCTGGTGTATTTTCTGGCTGAGCATAACCAATCTGTAAAAACCGCAAGCCAAACGCTCCAATCTACTGTCAGCATGGAAACACAACTGGCATGCATCTCACAGTGTCACCTGTTTTCTGTGTGTTTGAGTTTGTGTGCATCTGTGTACGTCACTTAATGCAAGAAATAATTGTAGACAATACAGTCTTTGTAATCACTCCCTATGGCAGGATCTGCGCCTTACAAATGTGATTTCAGCAGCATGGGTTGTTACTTTCAGGCAAACTTTAAACACTGCTTAACCCTTTTACATTTGAGGCCATTTAAATTTGTATAATATTTGCTACATAAAGCATTTTCTTTTTCAGTGCATTCCTCAAAAATAAATTGTAGATTTTATTTGGACTTTTTCTGGGAAAAAAGTCACACTGAGTATGTAGAAGTCTCAGAAACTCACAAAAACTCATATATCCAATATGACACACTTGACTTAGAGTTAAACAGTTAAATATACAAGGTGTTATAAATTGCTTTTAGATTGTGTTCAAAAGAATATAGTTTTCTTATTCTTTATTTATTTCCTTTTTTGTTAAAACATATACATCTTAAACACAAAACCTGCTGCTCATTTCAAACCGGGACCTTCGTTTCATTCCCGCCTTGATGTCTGTTGTCTTCTGTATGTTTTTCTATAATACAATTTACAATATGTCTCCAAAAAAGATCTGATCCCACAAAATTTGAAAAAGATTTTCATGCTGCATTTGTTAGGGTGTCTGCATCTTCAGTTAAAAGGTTAAAAGGTACATCAGTTGTTTTAGAACTAAATGACGAGAGGCTAACCATCTTCACAAACCAAAATAAGTCCAGTTGCCTTCTTATCAAGCAGCTGAGAGAACCTAAGTAGACCTTTTGATGTTGATGTTTGATTTTCTTTTTTATTCCAAGTTTATTAAAAAATAACAGATTTAAAAAAGTCTCAGTGCATACACATGAGTCACTGCTGCCAAGCAAACATCTCTGCAGATAAACAGATAAACGCCATTATTTCAAAGAACTCACTGTGTTTTCGGTCAAAAGCTGGTTTCTCTAACCATTAGCTCACTGTGAAACCACTACAAGACTCCATCACTGTGTACACCACAAGCATCTTTGTGGACTCTGTGCTGTGGACTCTCAGCTATTGAATGTGAACTTTAATCTAATCTTCTGTGTGGAAGCACTGATGTGGGTAAGAGGGGAATGGGAAAAGAAATCCTTCTGTGGACAAACGGGAAACTAATGGGCCCTTTTAGAAATATATATAGGGATCATGGTAATGACCACAGATAATGATTGGGTTAGAGAGACAGTTGAGGCAGAATGTGAGATACAAGTAAAAGATGAAGCAGGGGATGGCTGACAAGAATACAGGTTGCAGAAAGGAAAACATGACCACGATCAGAAAGAGACGTGCAATGAAAACAAATCCCAAAAAAACAAGATACAAAGGAAGGATAAACTCAAGATTTTAAAATTCATAAAGGGATTTTTGAAAAACAATAGATTTTAAAAAGGAAAAGAAACTGAGGAGAGCAATAAAAAATGATA